TGATAATAATTTTTTTTTTTTTTTTTTTTTTTTTAAACATTGCAAGAGTAGGCTTGAGTATATATATTAATAGCAATTTTTATGAGTCTATATATTAATAATTTTTTTTAAAAAAACTTGAGGGTAGGCCTAGGCCTACTCTCAAAGGGGCTAGATCCACCCCTGTGCACACCTCAACTAATCCTCGCAGCCCTGAAATTATTGATCAAGTACAAACTTCAATGATCATCCTATTAGTAACCGTGAGGACTCAAACTCGAGAGAATATATAAATTTAAATCTTCTTTTACTTTTTCATCATCATACCACCTAATGATGGTTTTTTTTGAGTTACAATTGTAGTAGGTGGCCACTATGGAAACTCAAACACAAGATCTTTAGATAACCTAACCGATCACATACTTTTCTTCAAAAAAACCTAAAATTTCTTCACTGGATTCAACAAGTACTTCAAGTTTGTGTTCGCAAACCTCACTGCCTCAGCTTGTAACGCCCCACTTGAGGTACGTACTTAAGATTACAGTTCATTGATTCAGTTTCAATTGAGTTTGTATGTTGTATTGGTTAAGTGTTTGCCTTGGTTTTGGTTGAGATTTAGTGAATTTTGGAAATCCAATCTTCGCCGGGGCGAAGGAGAATCTTCGCTGCGACGATGAGGTGCTGCACCCACGGGTAAGTTCTGTCGTGTTTCGCCGGGGCGACGGAATGTTCTTCGCCGCGGCGAAGAGCCTAACAAAAATTTCTTGAGTTTTCTAGAGAATTCTTCCTTTGGGGCATAATGACCTTTCTACCCCTAATTAGTAGGAAAAGTGGGGAGTAAAATGAAAGGAAATTTAGTAGAGAATGTGTTGGTGATAAGGGTGTATTTGCAAAGAATCAAAGGATATAGATGGAATTTCTAAGGAAGAGCAAGGGCAAAATGGGAAATGATGGTTATAATATGAGCTAAAAGGATTAAGTGTAGAGAAAACCTTCATTTTACCCATTTCCACCGCCATATCCATTCTCTAACTTCTCTCAATTCTCCATCCAATCTTCCAAGATTTCAAAGGAGCTTTTGGGTAATTTTTTAATAAAGATTCCATCTAAAGCATTCTAAGGTAAGGATTCTTGCTTTAGATATAGCTTTGCTTGTATTTGTATCTTGAAGCCTTATGGTTTTATGGGTTAAAGGTGTAGAGATGGGACAAGGTACTAAGGAGAAGCATTAGTGGAACCTCTCCATTAAAGGTAAGTAAATCCAAACTAAATTGAGATTTAAGAATTTATTTGAATAGAAATTGTGTATGTATATGTATGTATTATGCTTGCTGAGGAATTGAGATGTTATGAGTATGTATCTATGTTGATATGAATTTAATTGAGTTATGAGAAGTGTTGTGATTGTGTGATGATGAGTTGAGTTTGATTGAGGTTGGAGGGAGTCATGAGCAAACCCTATGGGAGTGTTTTACCTTAACAGGAACTTAGAGTGTATGAGGGAGTTTTCCTCTCATTTTGGATGATTAAAGAGAAGAGTAGAGTTATAGATAAGTAGAGCTTTGGTATGCACATGAGTTATTTGAGGAAATGCTTAAGTGAAATCTGTCATGTCACAGCCGTGACTTTCTAAGTGAATTTTGGGCATCTTACGGATTGAACTGGGCTGAGACTAAAACATCAAAGTTATAGCCCTATCTCTAAGCTTTAAAACGAGACAAAAATTGTAGCAATCCGATGTGTATAGCGCAAGTTATGCCCTTTTTAGTGTGACCTGTGCAGAATAACTATCTTTGATGTATCATTGCATTTGTGCTTTGCATAAGTGCATTAGTGAGCATGAGCCGTTCATACACATTATTTATGCACTTAAGAAGTAGCTTGAGAAATAGTAAAGAATGTGAGTATAAGCTACTTTAAGAGTAAAGAGAGAGAAAGAGAGAATGAGCACTAGAGAACAAAGAGAAAGTAGTGCTAAACAAAAGAGAATAGAGGAGGTTGTGCGATGGGGAACCCGTGAGTTATGGGTAGAGTATTCCCGCATGTACGCCGCATTGAGAGAGCGGCATGAGTATGAGAGAGAGAAGTGGTGTAGCCCGTGAGAGTGCATGCAGATGAGGGCTATAGCCGAGAGTACCCAAGAGAGAGAGATTATACACTCACATGGCCAAGGGTTCCGAATCCATGCATAACCGAGTCCGATCAGCTAGAATGAGTATAAGTCACGTAGAGTGGGAGCGAGTCCCGGCCGTGCCTCCAGTAAGATGAGGCCGTGACTACTAAAGAGAGTTAGTAGAAAAGAGTTATGAGAGAGAGGTGTAAGAGAAAGAGTAAATGAGAATTGTAAGGAAAGAATTGGAGAAAGATAGTTACGGGGATAGATGCGTAGAGGATTTACTTACTGAGCATTATTTGTGCTCACCCCGTTGTTTTTCATGTTTTGCAGGATCTAGGTGAGGACACGGTCAGATGGACGTCAGCAAGCGAAGGGGAATGGCAACACTGTCCATTTTATTTTTGATGTTTTGTACATATTACAATATTTGTGAAAAGAATATTTATGTACATATATATGTTTAATGAAAGAAAAATATTTGGGCCCAACTATTTATGTTATTTTACATGTGTTTTCATTATGTGTATATTTTATGAGTATTTGAATAGAATGGAGTTATTACACAGCTCCAAAACCCACCTCCAAAACTGGGTTATTTAATATATATATATATACATATTTTTTTTTTTATTTTAATAGCAAAAAAGATTATGCAACAAGGCATAGTTTATGTCCTGCATAGTTTGGCTTATTGTTTTTATCCATATTCCCAAACTTATTCTTCAAATGTTGTTTGACACGTTATTCCCAAAATATTAGTCTATTTTTTTATTTATTTTTAGACCCCGTAAGTTTATTAATTTCATTAAATATCCCCCCAAAAAAGTTTAAAAACTAACAAAAACACCCCCATCCGCCAATACTTGCTAAATTCCAGCAACCACCGCCGGTGGTAGCCAGAATCTGTCACAACAGTCACACGACCACCGAAAATGGCTGGTAATGGCCAGATCTGGCCTTTTTCGGCCAGATCAGTGGTGGATCTGGCCTGGATCTGGCCGGAAAAGGCCAGATCTGGCCGTTGTTGACTGTCAACGACGGCCATATCTTTGGCCGTTGCTGATGGCCAAAGATGACCTTTTCCGGCCGTCGAAGGCCACATCCGGCCTTAGATTTGGCCTTTTCCAGCCAGATCCGTGGTGGATATGGCTGGAAAAGGCCATGTCGATCGAATACCCACCAGATCCAACTGGTATGTGTGGTTATCCAATTTTCTGGCCAGATTTCAACAGTGGTGGCCGGAATCTGGCACTGCAGGTGGTAGGGGTGTTTTTGTCATTTTACAATATTTTAATATATTGGGGTGTTTATTAAATTAGCAAACCTTAGGGGTTTTTTCATAAATTTTTAAATTTTATCTCGTAATACTCCCCTTTCTAACTATCCAATACTATCCCCAAAATTCTACCCAAAATAATAAACTAAATGCACCCTTAAATTTTGGGGTCTAAATTATTCCCTTTTTCAAGTGTAGAGTGTATGTTGAACATTATTACATGCCCCAAAGTTTTAACAATAATGCTACGGACACCGGGATTTTTGCACCGAAATATTGTACCGGCCTACGTGTAATACGCCTCTGATTTTTTTAACAAATTTTTTCTAGTGAACGGCCGTCCATCAAATTTGAACGACCGTTCACTCACATGGACGCCCGTCCATGTTATATGGACGGGCGTCCATATACAAGGGACGAGCATCCCCATTTAAAGGACGCCCGTCCATAAATAAAATATGAAAATAAAAAAAAAAAACTTTGGGGACGGCCGTCCATAAATTTTGGACGGCCGTCCCTTATGTTTGGACGGGCGTCCATTCCCGTCCATACTTAAAAAAAAAAAAAAACGTTTGGACGGGCGTCCATTTCGTCATACTTTAAAAAAAAAAATTTCGTCTTCATTCCCTATCTCCTCTCTTTTTCTTCTGTCTTCATATCCACCTTTGAATAGCTCTGAAACAGCTTACTCCATGACGTAAAGTAGCTCTCAACATCTCTTCACTGATACCACTAAGATAGTCCTCAAAGTTTTCATGGGATCGCAATAGAAAAGCCATGACGAATGGATGGGCTACCTCTCATGGCCTTTTCAATTTCCCTCCTGGGGTTCGCCTGTGCCTCTGGAAATACATATTTAGGGTGGATATATCCAATTTTGATGCAAGGATGTCCCATGACGAAACCCATATATACTGCAATTGCCCAACATGCCAAGAATGGAAAACCTGTGCTTGTATTTGTCCCTTCAAGAACCAAGACTAGCTGGAGGACGTCAAAAAGTTGGATGATGATGTGCAGTATCTGTAGAAAAAAAAAAACGTTTGGACAGGCGTCCTTTAAATGAGGATGCCCGTCCCTTGTATATGGACGCCCGTCCATATAACATGGACGGCAATTCACTAGAAAAAATTTATTAAAAAAATCAAGGCGTGTACACGTAGGTCGGTAACAATTTCGGTACAAAAATCCCAGTGTCCATAGCATTATTGAAGTTTTAAAATTGTACATATTCCCCTGTAGACGATTTTATCAAAATCAATAGCCGGGTTGGCTGGTTGCGTTAAAACTCCATTTCTCCTCTTAAAATAGAAACCCTACTTACCTGCAGTGGCGGCTCTCTTTTCTTCTTCTAATCCCTTGTCTCATTCCCTTTCACATTCCATTCAAATCACTTTCTCACTCTCAAACCGCGCCCCAACGAGCCAACGTAAGAGCTCAGTCGACGAAACAGCGAAAGCTGTATCGAGCTTGGCCGTGGATTCATCCTCTTCTGATCCTGCAGCTCACGAAGAAACAATAACAAAAGTCTCCTTCTCTCCTTTCGTATCTGGGATTTTTTTTAAACTCTTATTTTCTCATTGGGTTTCGTCCTTTTTTTTTTTTTTTTTGATCAAATTTTATTTTTGACGATTTTTTTCTTGTGGGGTTGTGTGCGTGTTCAGTGCTCGCAAGAAGGAGCTGAAGAATAAGCAGAGAGAAGAGGAGAGGAAGCGCAAAGAAGAGGAAAAGGCGAAACAGGTACTTAGCTTTCGTTTTAAGCAGATGATATGTTGATTTTTTGATATGCCTTTTGGGTATTTTGTATTCATTTTTGTTTGTTAATTGGCTTTTTTTTTTTTTTCTTATTTGAGTTTTTTATATGGCTATTGGGTATTTGGCATTCGTTTTTGTTTGTTAATTGGTGTTATTTTGTTGTTGTTCAAGTATTAAGAGACAAGAAGTAGGTGTCTAATTTGAATTTAGTAACATTTGTATTTATGAATATTGGTGCTATTTTGTTCTTCTTTAAGGATTAAGAGACTAGAAATAGGTGTAATGTAGTTAATAATTTGAAGTTAGTAGCATATGTGTTTATAAATATTGGTGCTGTTTTGTTCTTGTTTAAGGATTAAAAGTCTATAATATAGTAAAATCTCTCTATAGTTATAATGGTGGGATCAAACTAATTTAATATTATGAGGATGTTATAACTTAATAGAGTTGTAGTTACAAAGTTATTGTTTTGACTTAGTTATTCTTATTGCAAGTGGTATAGAGGTAAAGTATGCATTACATTAATAATTAATTAATGGAGCTTGTCAAATCCAAGGTATAGACATTGATAAAAGAGATAGACATAATTTCAAAAAACTATTACATGTATCCATGAGCAACATTACATTACACTAATCGAATGATATTAATGTTGTCTTCAATCATCCAAATAAGCAACAAGTCGTGTATGTTTTAACTAAAAAAGAAACCATTGCTGCAATTAGACAAGAAGAGAAAGGAGATAATCTTGAGGACGATAGTTTGGAAATACAAAAAAGTTTCATGCTAAGAAACTCTAAACATGATTGAGAACTTAGATATATTTTGGCTTCAACAAGAAGGTGTCTATGTTAGCGAGTTATTACATGCCCGCAAGTTCAAAAATGTGGTAACAACTATAAAACATAAATCATTGTCCCAAACAATTTTAGATTAATATTTTATTTCGTCTTAAATTTTTAATGTGATATAGCATATATATTTTTGCTATATACAGATAATTATGACTATGTGGAGACAACTTTCTTAAGACAGGAATTAGAAAAATTATAACTTATTACAATGTGAAGTTTATTCTTATATATACCTATCCCATGAGACTAAAATTTTTTATGACTACATAGATGTTATTCCTATATAGAGTATCACTATAGAGAAGTTTTACTGTTTGTGTAATGTAGTTGTTAATTTGAAGTTAGTAACATGTGTTTATGAACGTTGGTGTTATTTTGTTCTGGTTTAAGGATTAAGAGACTAGAATTTGTGTAATGTAGTTAATAATTTGACGTTAGTAACGTATGTGTTTATAAATTCAAGGCTGCTGCCAAGGCAAGCATGCAGAATCAGAACCAGAAAGCTGCAGCTGATGATGAAGATATGGATCCAACGGTATGATTCCATGGTTCTTAACAATAATTTTGAGCCTTTTTGTATTTCTTTTGCAGATAACACCTGACTGTCTGCTGTTTTGTTTTTCTGATTTGTTTCTTCTGCAGCAATACTTCGAAAATCGAGTGAAATATCTCGCTGCTCAGAAGGCTGATGGAAAAAATCCATATCCCCACAAATTCTTTGTTGACATGTCTATTCTTGAGTATACTGAGAAATATGGAGGCTTAGGCAATGGGGAGCATCTTGAGGATGTGACTGTATCTTTGGCAGGTATAAAAAATGGGACTTCAATCGTTGTAGGTATCATCTGATTTTTTTTTTTTTTTTTTTTTTTTTTTAAAATATCGAACTTTATTATAATTATATTTTGCCAGGAAGAATCATGAGCAAACGATCTTCGTCATCAAAGCTCTTATTCTATGATTTGCACGGTGGTGGTGCAAAACTCCAAGTTATGGCTGATGCTAGGTACTTTTTCATTACTATTTTATCTATTGTTAAAACTCATTTGTACTTTACATATTTTCTCTTTCCAATTTGGGAGGACGGGTAGGGTGGGGTTAAATTAAATAGCAATTTATGTTTCAGCAATTATAGTGGGATTTGTCTATGTTATTGTTTTTATTTGTTTGACCAACCATGTACTTTAATTATTAAGGTCCAGCTTGATTAAGAATTCAAATGCAATTTTTTATTTTTAAGGTAAGGGAGCCAAAAAATTTTAAGAAACCTCTTTAGTTACAAGCTCTAAAATAGTTTTGGGATACAATCTCAAAAGTTATTGTAAAACCAGAAAATGAAATGAAGTCAAGATAAGAATTTTATCCCGACTCTTTAAAGTTGAATAAGTGGAAATTATCACATATCAAAAATAAAAAAGACAAGAAGGAAATTGGGGGAAGAATTTAAAGTTTTTTCTTTCCAGATATACTTTTGGCTGTACATTTATTTCTCTATAGTTTAGGGTGCAAGCTGCATTTTTGTTTTTGTTTCCCTTTATGTTTCATATACACATCTAAAAGATCTATGTTAACAAAATAGTTAAGAAACGTTTAAAAATGCATTACTTTTAAATTTGGCCTTGGTTTTGTAAGTGCGGTGATGGGAACCTGGGCACTTTCAATCAACTCAACCACACAGAACAAAGAACTCACCAACACAGATCAAGTAATAGAAGAAATCAATTTATAGAATTGAATATAGTATTGCTGAACTGTAAAAGGAATGCTTAATTAACCGGAGCAGAACAAGAAGAGAAAACAACAAGTAATTGAAAGATAAACCTAGCAATTCGAGGAGCTAGGGACCTCCCACAGATTTCCCACTAGCAAAATATACTCTCCTTTTTACAAGATCTCTCTCTCAATTTATACCCACTATCACACTAGTCGCATTGTTGCTGTCACGTGGCTTCCAATAACAAATTTCCCGAAAAGGGCCTAACTAACTAAATATTCCTCTTATTCTTCTTTCCCTTCCTCTTGTAAACCTCTGATGGCAATGTTCTATCATGCGGCTGTATAAATTTGTGGTTTGTTGAATTGGCACTATATGATGTTCAAGGTTGAAAAATTCAATATTTTGTATCCTTTTATGTGACACTAAATGAACAAAATTTTTTTTTTTTTGGTGCCCTTTTTGTTTTGTTTTATTTTATTGTGATTCTTCTATTCGGGCTAATTGATTGGGAATTTTCTGATTGTAGTAAGTCAGGCATGGATGAAGCTGAATTTTCGAAGTTCCATTCTAGTGTGAAGCGTGGTGACATTGTTGGTGTCACTGGATTCCCAGGTTTGGATATTGCAATTGTTAATTAATTCACATTATCTTTTTTTCATATTGTGTACACCTTTTTAATTCACTTTATTTGGATTCTAGAAGTAATTGATTTTTGTCAGCTTGATTGAGCTTAAAAATAACTAAATACATTAGCTGTAGTAGAGATCTGCTGGACAAAGTGGTGATCCTACTTAATAGTTTCTTATCCACCAGAAAAAAAAGATGCATCTTCATTTTGATGCTGTGCTAGCTCTTTTTGACCTGAAAGCTTTATGCTAGTTAATTGTATACTTTGGTTTAATCTTTCTCTTCCTCATCCTTCCAGGAAAAACTAAGAGGGGGGAATTGAGTATTTTTCCTAAAATATTTGTGGTACTTTCTCATTGTCTCCATATGATGCCAACTAAGAAACCTGGTCCTGGTGGGGATAATACTAAGGGAAGCAAAGTTAAACCTGATCCTGCTGCGGATAATTCTAAGGTAAACAAAGTTTGCCCTGACTGACTTGATTTTGACTGAGATCCTTTCATGATGTTAACAATCTGTTCCCTTTTCTGCAGAGAGCTGACGTATGGGTGCCAGGAAGTACCAGGAACCCTGACAATTATATTTTAAAAGATCAGGTATTAATTAATATCCATTATTAAGGAGAAGTCATTTTTGTTATTTTAGATGTTTTGGACCATGTGCATGAAATTAAACTGCATCAACTTTGGGCATAAATAGATTATCTAGGTGTATGAAGTGTGCATTGTCATATATTTGGATCTACATGACTTTCTGATGCAAAATGCAAGAAGCTAAAGGAACATAAAATTAGAGAACAACATATAAGATTTGAGATTGGTCTTTTTTGGATCTACGCTTGTTGATATATTTAGTGCCAAACTTATGGTAAGGATTGATTGTGGTATTCATAGCTCAATTGGAGCCAGTCTGGTTTGAGTGTTTCTCCTTTATCTTAAGCTTGGAAACTCCCAGGTTTTGGAAACATGAGATATGCTTGTATAGCAAATTATTACTTTTAAATGTATGTAACGAGGCTTACACTGTAATAACTAGTGTCATCTTGTTCACCAACTCATTAAATTTTCTTAATAAGTTTGATGATTATGTTAAACAATAATACCTGTGGAATCAATAAATTAGCTGCAATTAGTTCCTTGGATTATTTACAACTGGTATTCAAGCCCTTTTTGGAATTTTAGTTGAGCCAGAAACATATTTGGAGGGTCATAATTGAAGAGTTCTGGAAATAGTCTTTTTCGTTCTCTCAATTTTAATCATATTATGGCAATGCTACATATGCATAACTCAAGATAATCTACTTCATCTATTGTATATATGTTTTTGCATGTGTATGCATAACCACATATATATGTGTATGCAGCAAATTTCACAGATCTATATGTTTTTCTACTTCTATATATTGGAAGTACTAAAATTGACTATTACTATCATTATTATCTTTCATATGCTTAATAATTGTATTTGATTTTGTGTCATACTTGATAAAAGTACATGTTATTTTTCCACTGTCATACACCTAAGACTTGCTAAAAAGTTGGTTCTAATCCATACTCTGAACAGTTATTGTAGAAGTTTTCTGGCAAGCTTTCCCATATTTCAGCTCAGGTTTAGTTGGAATTAATTAGTCTGCCCTTCTTCTATCCTAATTTGAGCAAAACCTTGGTTGATATTAGTAGGTGATATCAGTACTTGAAACTGAAATCTTACTTATCATTGATATCTTGTCTTCCAACTTTAAGTGGACAATATTGGCCTTAGGATTGAAACTGAAGTGTCCGATAATGGCTGAAATTGACTCTCCAAGGGAGAATTTATTCTTGAGTTGCAACACACTGCTGTGGTATATTACTGAATAGTCTGGAGCAATAGCTAATTAAGGAATTTGGGCTTCTCTATGGGCGTATGTTCTCTCAGAATGTGAGGAAGTTTTGTTTTTCTTTATTCTTCAAAGTTGGGAAGCTTCAATAGCCTAATTAGAAAGGATGTTCTTGATTTCTAGGCTAAGGCTTCACTTGTTTATGGATTTGAGCTGACTTTTCTTTGTATAGTTTCTGAATTTTTTGGGGTTTTTGGACAGCTTGTCCTTTTTTTGTCAGTCGGCTTTTCCATTATGTTGTACCCTCTTTTTTCTTAATGTAATAGCCTAATATAAATNAATTAGAAAGGATGTTCTTGATTTCTAGGCTAAGGCTTCACTTGTTTATGGATTTGAGCTGACTTTTCTTTGTATAGTTTCTGAATTTTTTGGGGTTCTTGGACAGCTTGTCCTTTTTTTGTCAGTCGGCCTTTCCATTATGTTGTACCCTCTTTTTTCTTAATGTAATAGCCTAATGTAAATTTTTTCCTCTTAAAAGAGAATAAAAAATAAAAATTTGGAGCAGTAGCAACAAGAAGATGGTATGAATTATTTGCTAAGAGGGATGTCAGCACAATATTGTGAACAACTGCTCTGTACGTCGTTAGGTACCCTGTAAAGCTTCTAGCTGGGCCTTCTAGTGCAATAGATGGAGCTTGTCTATGTAAACTTCTTAGCTTGTCTATGTAAACTTCTTACTTCTACATAATTTGATGGTGGCTGAGCCTTGAATTTCCTTTTTAATCTGTATTTTATTTCATTGGTAATTAAGTTTGGTGCGTTAACTTGAGCCTGAAGAATTTTTGATATGGTGTTTTCAGTAATTGCATGAACATTGTTACTCTGTTACTATTTACATTTCAGCAATTTAGTTTACATTTGTTCCCTTTTTTAGTGGTGATTTAAAAGGTTAATTTGCCTCTGCTAGGAAACTCGGTATCGTCAACGTTACTTGGATTTGATGTTGAATCTGGAAGTTCGGCAAATATTCAAGACTAGAGCAAAGGTTATTTCTTATGTTAGGAGATTCCTTGACAATCTTGATTTCTTGGAGGTTAGTAATCTGTCTGGTTGTTTAATGGTTCACTTCTTTGATGGAATTAGCATATATATATTTTTGGATTAATTATACTTTTCATTATCATTAATGCCGTATTCACCTTTAGGTTGAAACACCCATGATGAACATGATTGCTGGTGGAGCAGCTGCACGTCCTTTTGTTACCCATCACAATGAGCTTAATATGAAGTTGTTTATGCGCATTGCACCTGAACTGTATCTTAAGGAGCTAGTTGTTGGTGGGCTGGATAGAGTTTATGAGATTGGAAAACAATTTAGAAACGAGGGTATTGATTTGACTCATAATCCTGAATTCACCACTTGCGAGTTCTATATGGCTTTTGCAGACTACAATGATTTGATGGAACTTACCGAACAAATGTTGAGTGGTAAGTAGAAAACATTGACGTCGAGAGAAATCTTAGCTTCCAGTATCTTGAGTTTTTCTTTTTCAACTAGACTTAAGATGACTCCTGACTTATTTTGAACGAAACAGGGATGGTCAAGGAAATTACCGGTGGCTATAAAATCAAATATCATGCCAATGGGCTTGATAAGGATCCAATCGAGATTGATTTCACACCTCCTTTCAGGTCAACAATCCTTTATTTTATGGTTATCACTGTTATAAGATTAAACATCTGTGTGGAGATCTCTTTTGGAGTTGAATTTATCCTCGTTTTTTAAATGTTACAGAAGGATTGACATGATTGATGAGTTGGAGAAGATGGCTAACCTCAAGATACCAAAGGACCTATCCAGCGATGAGGCTAACAAATATCTGGTGGATGCTTGCTTGAAGTATGATGTCAAATGCCCCCCTCCTCAAACAACTACCCGCTTGTTAGACAAGGTAACTTTTCTTTATTAGGTCTTTCAAATTTATTGACATGAATTTAAGAACTTGTATTGCCCTTCTTTTGTGTAGTATGTACTATAATAGACTAAAGGTTTGGATTTGGGTGTAACATAGGAAAAATAAATTGTTTTAGAAAAGGTCTACTGGAATAAAAAGAAAAGATCCTTCTTGTGACTCTTATTTTGTTTTTCTATTTCTATTAGTACTTAGCCTTTGGTTATTATAACAATGACTCATTATGACTGCCTTTTGAGTGATCATCATTGGGAAGTATTTCGTGGTAGTTAACCTTGTTGAGAAAAGGATTTCTGGTTGTGGCATGCAACCTAAGATGATGTGGAATGTAATATTCTTTTCGCATGTTATTTAAGCATAATCATTTTATAAGAAGTTTTTCCTGCGCTAATATTTGTGATTTTATCATTAATTTTTTTATTGTACCTGCCCATTTGTTTGTTGGGGCTTGGTGGTGTGGGTTCAGGACCTTCAGGTAGTTTGTGTCCGGGATTATTATCAAATAGAATATTTAATTTTTGACATATCACATGTGTGCACATATGAACTGTAAGCATGAATATTTGACTGAAAGATGCATTCACCAAATATTACTCCCCAAAATGCCTTACGCACTAATTATATTATCTATATTATTGATTAATCTTATTTTTTTTGTGATGGCAGCTTGTGGGTCACTTTTTGGAAGAGACATGTGTTAATCCTGCTTTCATCATTAACCATCCTGAGATAATGAGTCCTTTGGCGAAGTGGCACAGATCAAAGCCAGGCCTGACTGAGCGTTTTGAATTGTTCATTAACAAGCATGAAGTATGCTAATCTGATTATAAAATTCTTGTTTTTGTTTTGCCCATTTTGATGCAGCTCTTTTTTAATTTCTTTTAATATTATTCTTTCTAACTAATATGCTGCTACACAGCTTTGCAATGCATACACTGAGCTGAATGATCCCGTGGTACAACGTCAACGATTTGCTGAGCAACTAAAGGTATCACATATGTTTAGGATTTATGATTACAATTTTACTATTCTTAATAATCCACTGGGAATTTTGTGAAAAATCTGATATCTTCTTTAAATATCAGGACCGACAATCAGGTGATGACGAAGCAATGGCTCTGGATGAGACATTTTGTACGGCTTTAGAGTATGGATTGCCTCCAACTGGTGGATGGGGTTTGGGAATTGATCGGCTGACCATGTTGTTTACCGACTCACAAAACATCAAGGTTTGTGGTCTCTCTCTCATGCATTTCTTCCCTGTCATTGGTTCGCACTGTTAGCAGTCATTCATCATCTCTTGTATGTTATTTGTCACAGGAGGTTCTTCTCTTCCCAGCCATGAAACCTCAGGATGAACCATCTGCTAAAGGTACTCCACCTATATGTTCCATTTGGAAACTTTATTTTAGTGCCTTGATACATGTTTGTTTCGGTTGCAATTAGTGTACAGTTTGTTGCATATCACAGAGATTACCATTCTTTGACGTTGGCGAATTTGTTTTCTCGTTTATTGGCAGCTGCAGCAAATTAGGTGTTTTGAGGAGCTGAAATCTGATAAGTAAATTTATTTTGGGGCTCTAATCGAGAATCGAAGAGGCAATCCTGCGGTCAAATTTTTGTTATTACTTTTGCACCAGTTATTTTATTTTATATTTTTGGTGTTAAAAGGGTCTTATTATGTTATATTATACAACCCATTATATGATAAGAATTGTGCTCTCAAGTACACACCATAAAATGCTCATATTGAATATATAGCATACTTATCAACAATGTTTTAAAACCCAGCCCGGCCGGGCTCGACCGGTTTAACCGGTTCGATCGGGAACCGGCCATTGAGTCGGGTCGGGTTAAGCAAAAAACCGAGATTAATGATTCACCCAAGATTGACTTTTGGTTGGACCATAGTAATTGTAGCGAATCGCTGGTCCAATCGCTTTCAAGCCAAAACCGGGTTACTCTTAACCCCATCCTAATTTGTAAAAACCTAAATCTAATTTCTCCTTTTAAGTTTGCATTCGACATTTTCTTCATTTCATGTTCATTCTAGATTCATTCAATTTTCATTCTAGATTCATTCAATTTTCATTCTTCACTTTAGCTTCTTTTCATCTTCACCATTTTTTCATTTCTGCATTTTTGGCAGTCGTCGTCAATGTTGTTTTAAAAATCGGACCGTTCTTTGAGCCGATCAAGGAGTCGGTTTTTGGGTTAACCTGTTCAACCGGTTGGATCGATTGGTCTGATCGATACACAACAGATAGATCTCTGAATAATTTTTCAGTCTTTATAAGTTTAAAAACTGGCAAATACACTCTTAAAATTTACACGAGTCCCTGTATATTTGAAATAACTTGTAACTTTTATTATTAATTATTTTTTATCTCTCCCAATCACTTTTATCTTTCTCATTTTTTCTCTTTCTCCCCGTCACTTTCTTCTTTCTTCTATTCTTTTCCCATTTTTTCAATAACTTTTTTCTCTTTTCTCTTTTCTCTTTCTCTTCGTCTCCTTTTTTCTTTCTTCTAATCTTATTCCTTCCTCTATTCTTCTTTGTCTTCTCCTCTTTCTTTTAATCTTCTTCCTTCCTCTATTCTTCTTTGTCTCCTCTTCTCTTTCTTCTTCTTTCCCCTTCCTTTACTTCTTCTTCCTTACATGGTAGATTTTAAAGTAAGTGAAGAATAAAAGATGAAAATGGAAGATGCAATTTGGTCTTTGAAGATGAAAATGGTATTAAAATAAAATGAAGAATGCTTGCTGACTCAATGAAATAGAGAATAAAACGGTGCTGCAAATCTGATTTAGGAATTAGAGATCAGATTAATCCCAAAACAATGAACCATTTTAAGCTTCAAACCGGTCGGATCGACGGTTTTTACTGTTTCGCCGGTCTATTACCGATCTAAATTGGGTTTATGTTATTTTCGGTTTTTATGTTAACTTAGATTAAAGGCCGGGTCTTGGTTTAACCGGTTGGATTGATCGATCCGGTCTGGGTTTTGAAACATAGGTCGTCAACACATTTTTGGCAGTCGATGTCAATGCATTTTCGACAGTCGTCGTCAATAAGGTAACGATCTTCAGTTCTTCTTCGCCACTTTGGGTGGAATTAAAGTTCAAGTTCTCAAATTTTCGCCTATCTCTTCCATAAATCCTTTTTCTTCACCACCACAACCCAGCCCACCACTGCACTCTTTTCTTTCTCATTCACTCTCCACCAAGCGCCCCTTAACCTTTTTTTCTTCTCTTAAACCTGCCGCTTGCTCCATTTCCTCGTTTGGGTTTAGCGGCTCTCTCTATTTTCACCACAGCAAGTGCAACTTTTGCGGTGAGTTTGTTGTGGCCTTGGCCGCATCTGGGTCTGTCTAGATACCAAAGGAGTGGCGTGCATTTCTTTTGCCTGAATAGTTTCTGATTTTGAGGGAAAAGGGAACTGAGTATGATTTATTTATTTTATAAATTTATCATTTATGCATTCATCTAAATTTTGGGTTTCTTGAAACTTGGTAGACTGCAAATTATTGGAATGCTTTGTGATGAAAACTTGGTATAGAGGAAATGCATGCTAACAGATTGAGTATAATGATTTAAAAACAAAGAAAATTTCATATTTTTGGGTTAATTATGTGACATAATTTGAATTGTTTAAAAAAATCGTAGTATTTGGTTTTGGGTTGTTTTATTTACTTAATCTCCCTAACAAGACAAGTTTTAATTTTTATATTTTGCAAATCATTGATGTTTGATATAAACTTTCTAAGTGAGCTCAATAAGGAAAAATCAGAATGGTCATAGAATCAATTATCATTCTAGCTTTTCTCGAAACCAGTCTTGTACTGCAACTTCAACAAGATGATGTGAGTCACATTGATTTAGAGTTGGTCAAGGATCGGTTGCTTGTGGGCTTGGGATCGGTCCCAGGGCTATAAGCAATTTCAGGACCCGGACTAGTCCCTAGGATTGGTCCTGGGCCCATAGGACCAGTCCTATGGGCTTGTAAAATTTCATTTTCTCTCCTATCTTTTTTTTATATTTTAGGGGTGAAATAAAATTCTGTAGGGGGGTTTATGTAATTTTTAAGTGTAGATTAGTAAGTTTTTAAAAGTTTAATTAATTTAAAAAAATAATAAATAAATTAATGGTTAATTTTAACATAAATGTAATATTTACACAATCACACAATCACGCTTCACAAATAACCAATTAAATAAATTTTTTATATGAAATTATTCATCTTTATCTTTAATAATATTTAAATCATTAAAATCTGTGTTCATAAAGAGTTCGAGTAGTTCGGGATCTTTAGGGTGCTATTGTAGTCTTTTCTCTGTATGAGTCCAATCTCGTAAACACGTTATCACTTCAATCATCTCATCAATTAAAGAACATCTTCTGTCTTCAACAATTCGGCCACTCGTTAAAAATGCTGACTCGGATGCAATTGTAGAAAGCGGCACAGATAAAATGTCACGTGCCATTTGGGCTACAATGGGGAATCGACTTTGATGTTGGTTCCACCATTGAAACACATTCATCTCACGTTTCTCCTTCTTCGTCATGTAGAACATATCCATTTGTAAGTAGCGATTCAACTCATTTTGTCAATGTATGTACGAGCTGGAGCTGCTATTTTTGCCATGTTCCATATATGTTCACATGCTCGATCCTTGATAGAGGTCTTCATCATGGTCCTGATCGTCTCTCTTGGACGTTCCACTTCCATTTCCACTTCTATTGTACCTGTTCTGATATAAAAAAAAAAACTTTCTAATTTTTGCTTAAATTCAGTCATATAAGAAGTATAATCATGTCGTTATTGCTGGTCTATCTCAATAATTATACATTTAACTACATGTAATTTAAACCTAGGATCTACAATAAGGCCTAATCCATATAATAATTGAATATTTAACCATATATTTTTTGTATTTTTCTTCCATCTTTAAAACAATTTCTATTAAAACGTCATTATATCTATATTTAGCAAAAGTTTTAGAAATTTGAAATAAAATATCTAACGCTAAATCAGTAGTCGAATAATAAATACCACTTAATGTATTAGTGGAATCATAAAAATTTTTAAGAAATGAATAAAAAAGTTCACAAACTGCTCAATCATTATAGCTGACAACTTCCTCCGGATGGTTCTTTTGGTTGACGAAATCTGTATTTTGTCTTGCGGTTGACAAAACTTTTTCCAATATTAAGCAGGTGAAGTTCAAACGGATAGGCATGTCCGTACATAACTTCAAAAGTCAAATCGATGGGTCCTCTTGCCTACAATATTTGACGTACTCTTGTCATCTTTTGTTGCTATCACTAACGATAAATCTGATAGCCGCGCGCACCCTCTCCATCTTCGAATGTATAACATCTAAACCTGCTTTAATTATCAAATTGATGATGTGGCAAGCACATCTCTAGTGAAAAAATTTGCCTTCACCACGCGGATCTAATCTCTTTTCAAATAAAGAGATTGTCGTAGTGTTAGCAACTGCATTATCAAACGTTAGCACTACAACTCTATCAGTTAATACATATTCTTGCAAAACTTCAAGAATTGTAAAATAAATAGTGTCAGCACTATGTTTTTCATATAATAGTTTAAAACCTATCAATTTTTGTTGTAAACCCCAACTATGATTTAAGAAATGTATTGTGACAGTTAAAAAATTTGTTTTTGATCTAGAAGCCCATATGTCTGATGTAAGTGCAACAGATATATTTCTTAAATTTTGAAATTCGTTTTTAAGTTTATTATTTATTTTGTTATAAAGTTTTAGTATATATCTTCTACTTGTATTTTTACTAACAGGGGTATATGCTGAAAAAAATACAGTTTTAATCATGTGAATAAAATAAGGATATTGAGATAAACAAATGGGAGAGTCTGTAGCAACTATGAATCTTGTTATTTTCTCTCGTGTAACATGTGCATTGTATTGTCATGTTGAGAGAGTTGAGGATTAAAATTAAGTTGAGTTTGAATTTACCTACCTGATCCGGTTGAAGATGTACCAGACAACTGCATTATTTGGGGGTGCTTCTTCTCTAAGTGTTGTCGCATCGTCGAAGTCCTCTTCTCAACGCCAATAATGGTTTTAATGGTTTCACAGAAATTATATACCCCACACGATTCTTCCCCCTCCCCATTTGTCTTTGGCCGTTTTAATTTGGTGAAGTGTCGCCATACATCGGACACGACCCTCTTTGACGGTCGAGGGGGTTGGACCATGCCCGTTGAGTTGCAGTTCGCTTGTGTTTGGTTACACCTCGTCCCAGCCGAATGTGGTTGTTGAATTGCAGTTGTTGCTGAATTGCAATTGTTGCCTTTGGAGGAAGGGTGAAAAATGGATCAAACCCTTCCATTTCTTTGGTGGATGGAATATAAAACTTATTTGGAGATGATTCTCCGAATGCATTATTTCAGGAATCCATTATGAATTTATGATAAAATAATAAATAAGTAAAATGAAAAAATAATATGAATAAGAGATGATATTGAAAAATAAAAAAAATATTGAATAATATAAATAAATAAATAATAATATGAATAAATTATAAATATAAATATAAATTGAATGAGAATTTGATTGGAGATTTGGAGTAGAGAGTAGAGAGATTGAGTGCTTTGCCTTATATGGTATCAAAG